GGCCGGGTAGCGTGGTGGCCCGCGGCGGCCCTGGGGGGCACCAGCAGGGGTCATTCCGACACGCGCCGCGGAGGAGGTGAGGTGAGCCAAGCCCGCCGGCCGCCTCGCCCGCGGGGTTAGCCCGCCCCACCACACCCCACCGCACCGCGCCGCTCGGGCCGCAGCAGCTATGATGCAGCAGCTTCCTCCTCGTGTTTGATTAAGAGGGTATTGTGGCCTGCACCGCGCTCGGCCCGGCCCCGGCGGCCCGGTCCGACCCGACCCGGCTATAGATGTAAAATCAAGTCGGGCACGTTCGCCACGCCGAGCCAGGAGAGTGGAAGTCTCTGGCAGCAGCAGCGGCAGCAGCAGCAACAGGACGTGACAGGACGAAACTGTCCAGGTCATTGTGTGTTTGTGTGTGTGTGTGTGAGTGTGACGGGGCCTCTCTGTACAGCACGCCCTACGTGCTGCTCAAAGTGATTGACCAGTATCGCCAACCTCACACACATACACACACACTGTGGCGTGGACGTGAAGGCAACGTGCTTCACGCCAGCGCGGGCTGCAAAGCGAGCTCCGCTGCTGGAGCCCCTTGTGGGTAGGCAGGCCCGTGGCGCAGGCGTGTCCGGCGGTGCTGCCTCCTCCCGCCCCTGCCGCTACGCTTCTGCTGCCTGCTGCTGCCTGCTGCTGCTGCTGAACTGCAGCTGCTGTCACTGAACTGCTGCTGCCTGCTGCTGCTGAACTGCAGCTGCTGAACTGCTGCTGAACTGCAGATGCTGAACTGCAGTTTCTGAACTGTTGCTGAACTGCAGTTGCTGAACTGCTGCTGTTGAACTGCAACTGCTGAGCTGCTGCTTGCTGCTGGGGCGGACATCTCTTGATGAAGCAATTCTGATTTGCCGAGCCACCGGCGCGCCGAGGAATGAAATGCGCAAACATTCGGTGCGGCGAGGCGGACTGTTATTGGTGCAGCGTGCTTATGGCGCGGTGCCGCCAACGCCAACGCCGCCGGGAGCCGGGGCTGGTCGGCTGAGCGCGGCGCAGCGCTGTGCGACTCTTAATTCCGATAACCGAGAGAGGCTGGCCGCCGGCCGCCGCCGCCGTTACCGTTCTGCTCCCATAAGTGATCCCGCGCCCGGCCTGCTGGCGCTATCGCCCGGCGTTATCGCCCCGTGAGAGGTAAATGAAGGCACAACGATATGATGACTCACGCCACGCCGTGCGTGCGAACGCATTGCGGCAGGGCCGGGCAGGGCCGGGCAGGGCAGGGCCGGGCAGGGCCGGGCAGGGCCGGGCAGGGCCGGGCAGGGCCGGGCAGGGCCGGGCAGGGCGGCCGTGGTGCGATAAGCGCTGAGTAGCGAGCGATGCGGCCCGCGCACTTACCTACCTCAAGGCGGGGCCCCGCCCGGCCCGGACCGGCCCGCCCCGGCCCAGCCCGCCTGGCTCCTCACCTTCGAACTTTGAGTATCGCGATCTTACTCGCAGCCGCGGATGCAATGAGAATAAAGCCTCTCCCCCCCCCCTCTCCTGCAGGAGCCGTTGGTGCTGCTCGTGGTTATGAAGAGGCTCAGCGTTATGCATTCCGACGCTCGCGATCTGATAGAAGCGTACGTACGCCTGGCCGGCCGCGCCGCTGCTGCAGTGGTGGTGGTGTGTGCGAGTGTTCCGAATTCATTTGCCATCACGTTTTGCAATCATCGCTTTTATTTCTTTTTAACCGCGCGCGCTTCTCCGCCCCCGCTGTGTGCGCCGCCGCTGCAGTGGTGGTGGTGTGCCCACCACCGGCGGGCCAACGTCTGACTGCGATCAAACTCGCAAGGCGTTGCCTATTCCCTTCCGCGGCAGAGGAAGGAGAGGGTGTCTCTGCTGGACGGTCTGTCGTCTGACGAAGGGGGGGGGGGGGCTCGCATTGTGGTGTGAGAATGCGAGTAGGTGAGCCTCCGAGCGTGGCGCGGCTACCGTCCGCTGCAGCCCCGCGCCACGCCCCATCACATTAACTACCGCCCCGCCCCGCCCCTCTCGGGGAAGCCTACCGCCTGATCGGAATGAGATCGTAAGCTGCGGCACGACCTTGCTCAGCGCCCCCGCCCGCGTCAACTTGGGTGCAGCGCTTCCCTGACGCCGACGCGCCTTGTTCTGAAGTTGCGCGGTCGCCGCCGCCGCCGGTGCTTGCGCTTGCCTATCGACAGACAGCCCTGTTCAGTTACAGTAGGGTGCTGGAAATATTGCCAGACTGGACCTTTTCAGCGACAGCTAAGTCAGTGCTGTTTTCTGGTCCTGTGGCGGAGGGCGCGCCGCTACGCTGGTCGGCGGCCGCCCCTTTTCTGTCGCCGTACTGCACTCTGCCGCGCCCCGCCCCGCCCCGCCACCGGCGCGCTGCACGCCTCCTGCGCACGGCCCTGCCTCGGCTCTGCAACGCGGCGTTAATTACTGTATGCTTAGCCAATTATTTATCTCACATGACGGCGCCTCTTCTTCTTCTCTGCGGCGCTCGACAGAGCCTAGGCTAGGCCTGTCCCTGAACGGGCCCGTCTCACCCCGACCCGACCGCCCCTGGAGCTTTTCCTTTGAGGGGCGTGCCCTTGGCAGGGACCCACTCTCCATACTCTCCATAGCGTTACGTTTCCGCCTACTTCTGGAGGCGAAGTGCATACTTTCGTGGCTGTCTCGCGGTCACAAACCCTACCAGCAGCGGCAGTAGGCCTCCGCCAGCAGGTCCGGTGGCCCACGCCCCCTTGCGTCGCGCCCTTTCTCCTCGTTCCCATGATCCCCACCTCCCCGAGAGCGATGAGAGACGCTTGTTCATAATCAGTTCAAGTGCGGAGCGGCAGCAGGGTCTCGGGCCTTTGCGATAGTTGAGGCCGCGAGAAGGAGAATTGCATACGGGGAGGCTACGCCAACCGTGCAAAACTCAATCCTTGTGTCGTAACGAGAAGTGCGGGGTAATTTGCGGGCTCATTCCGTCTCGGGTGTACTCTGTAGTACGCATGTGCAACGTGCGTGGTTATGATACGGGTCACGCTTCGTTAACATCTGCTTTGTTCTGACACTTGAGCTTTAATGTAGCTGCAGCGCTTGGCTGCATGGGACTAGGAGGAGGATAAATTGGAGGACGGCGTGGCGCGGGGGGAGGGGGGGGGTCAACATATCAACCGCGTGCACACACTCGCTCCCAGAGAGGGGCTCACTCAAGTAATATCAATTCAGACCGCTCCTATGGGAATGTTCTGCGATAGCTCGCGGGCCGACCCGGTGTCGAATGGGTTGCCTACCCGCGGCCCGCCAGGCGCTCTGCGTGCTCCGCTCCCGCTGCCCTTTGCTCGCGGCTCTAACTAACTCGCCCATCTCTTGTTCGCAGGCGTTCCGGGACCAGAGGATAGACGGGTCCGCTCTGCCCCTGCTCACCGAGGAGCACCTGCGCCTACAGATGAAGATGCGCCTGGGCCCGGCGCTCAAGCTGCGCTCCGTGCTGGCCAAGCGGCTGGGGCACTGCAGCGTCTGCCTGCACTGCGTGCACTGCCACAACGTGACGCCGTCCTCCGCACCTGCCGGCGCGACGGCCTCGTCCGCCACCCCCACGACCACCACCGGCGTCACCTCGTCACCGCCAAGGACGCCGTCGACCTCGTCGTCCGGCTCGGCCACCCCGGTGGCCTCTGGGGCGTCGAACTCGGACAACTACAGCGCCGCCTCTTCGCCTAAGCCGGTGGCGCCTGGCCCAGTGTCGTCGCAGCCCAGCACTGCGGTGTGAGAGGACTGCATGTCTCTATATGCAGATGGCAAATTGTGATATAGCGTTCTGGAATCAACGCTAGCCTATTTAGAGTGCATTTTCTTTTCTTGTTAGAATTGTCTTTCAAGTGTCAGCCTCTTTGTGTTTGTTTGTGTTTTTATTAATTTGACTCAATTATGAAGGTCTGTGCTGAAAATAATAGAAATCTTCACTTGAAAAGAACAATATTTATAAAAGTTTGGTATGCTCCCTGAGCGCAAATTAGAGAATTGAAAATAGCACTACTTCTTATAGTACAATTATTAATATCCAATGTAACTTGTTGAATGGTAAATAGCATGTTTCAACCCCTCTGATTTTTCTTAATTTATTGTTGTTGTTTTTTGAACTTATGGCTTGTTAGTCATATAATTTTCAAATGAATTCAGTGGTCGCAATGACTTTTCCTAGGTCATAGTCCCTGAGGCAGAAAAATATGCACACTCTTGTTATGGTCACCGTCAAACGGAATTACTTGCACTATTTATAGTCTAGGCTCTATGCATATCGATGTCTGTGATATACTCCTGAATATATATTAGCTGGATCGAAGTGCAATTTAGTTTAACTTTGTTATTCTTGCCTAGTCCAGCTTAAGAGATGCTGTAAGAACTACTTTACTTTATTGCCCTGGAGAAATTTCGCATGTACCACTTTGTTTCATTGTATTATACTTTTCGTTATCCTGCAGTGAAACAAAGTTTGAGTGTAAACGGCAGACACTTTGGGTTATTCTGGAGATTGATGACTTGTCATCACAGTATGTGCCAAACTAGGATTTCCAATACCTGTACAAAGTTTCATTTCTTGTGCATACTTATTATTCTTATGACTTCAATAACTAGATTTACTGATACATAATTTATGTTTGCACCCAAAGAAATGGGGTATTGCTGAACCGTCCAAACAATACTTTCACCTCTAAAAGCATGATAGGTGGTGAGACTAGCGGAACTACTTACAACTAATTTTTACATCTAAATCATGTTTCAAAAATAAAGTTAAAGGCCTCTTTAGAAATTTTTCTTCTTCAGTCAAGGTAACTTCAGATAGACTACAACAGGAATAAACCGTGGACATAGGTGCACTTCAGTCAAAAATGCCAATAATTGGAACCAGATTTTAGTTTTAATAACCTTGTGACTGCTAATGTTTTAATTGATGTTTATTAATCATCTGAAACATAGGGTAATGTAGAATCATACATCTAAAAGATATGTGTATGATTTTTAATTTGTCTTTATCTAAACCAGTTTTGCATATTATAGGATTGTAAATTTAAAAGTGTATATAAGTGTAAAAATTATTACTTAGTTCTAATTATTTCCTTGTTTTCATATGAAAAAAGATGGCGAATTGTGATATATTATGTCCTGATGGAAATTAAGTACTCTTTTCCAATGGTAGTAGTTATTGTAAATCCTTTCTTAAAGCCACAGAGAAAGTGGTCAAGGTTCACTAAGCAAGCAGTGTGCCTTATTTCCTATTCGTTAAAAAAAGTACATTTCCTTGAAGGAAATTAAAGCACTGAATTATGTGTGATGTTCCTTACAGTATTTGCAAATAAATGTTATCGTCACTGTTCCATGATACCTGTTCTTGTAAATGTATATAAAAACCCGTGTCCTAAAGCGAGTCACATACAGGGTCCTCTACAGCTACAGCTGGCCACAACCATGTGAGATGTTGGGAACTCATGGGCTCGTTCTTAGACTATGGAAGTTCTACTTCCACCCCTGACTCTCAGCCACAGAGTGCTGACAGGGGATGATGCCAAGAAATGCGTAGCTTGTCTATTCATGTATGAGCCAGTCAAAACAAAATTGGGTTGGTTCAATATGAACTTAATTCTTAGCTATGTTATTGAATTTTTATTGAGATTTTATTCCAAACAACTTTTGAAAAGATCGTAATTT